CGAGACGGCCCGGTGCACGGCCGAGGAGAAGATCGGGATGAAGATCGAGAGGGAGACGAAGCGCGAAGGCATCAAGCAGGAGTGGGTGCGCAAGGAGACCGAGCAGATGGAGGTGATGATGGGCATCGCCGTCAGGAACGGAATCTACCAGCAGGCGGAGAAGGTACCAGTGCGAAGGCCGCCACACAGCCCAGGGTCTTCTTCGAGCAGCTGCCCAGGGCAAGCGACGCCACTCAAGACCAGAATGAGGCCGATTTGCGAGGGGATCCCAGTGAAGCCCCCACCGGGCAACATCGTGATGGCGCCGCCTGCGGGTTTCGGCCCCACCGCCGCCAAGAGTCCTCCAGCCCGCAGGGTCGAGGCGAACGGCCGCAGCGCGGAGTTCACCGAGCTTCTCAAGAACCAGGGGGGCAATCGGGCAGAGCTCACCCAGTGGATGATGGAGCAGCGTCAGCAGACGGACGATACACGCGCCCAGTTCAGGGACCTCATGACGATGACCAGCCCCCGCCTGACCGGAGCGGCAAGCAGCGCGGGGCCAGCCCTCGAGGCGATGAAGATCGAGAGCGACGACGAGCGCTAGGTGAATCCAGCCTCTCGGTGGTCGAGAGCAACTACATATCATCCGTCGAGAGTGTCTCGACGAACTACATAACCAAGGCAGGTGCGTCATCTGCTCCTGGCTCCTGCAGCCAAAATCCTGATCATCATCATCCTTCCGTCTCCCCCACCACCATCCGAGAAGTTCCCAGTTTTGACCCCGGGATCCAGGGGGACCTCAGAGGCCTGCTTCCCCCAGGGACCGAATCCGGGGACTGGGCCGCAAAAAGCTTCAGGATCACCGATCGAAGGAATTCCAAGGTGGACATGCGGAAAAAGTCGGAATTCTTGGGAACCTGGCTCTGGGACACCGAGACCAGCAGGTCGGCTTCTCTGGAAGAGGTGACCGAGAGGGGTCTTTGAGAAGAAAAACGACTGGAGGGATCCGAGGCCCAAAATTTTCTGATCTATCTTGCCCTCAGGGCAAGAGGAGAAACGTCGAACATCTTTGAGGGATCAGGGGCCAAGAGACTGAGGATAGCGACTAAGACCCCCGCGAAGATCACCACCGTCACCGACACTCTTTGGGCAGGGGCCGCAGCGTCCGAGATTGCCTTCAACCTCGAGGGCTACAAGCCGTCCAAGCTGATCATCTCTGTCTGGGCCTCGGCTGGTGGCCCGGCTAGTATGCCCCAGAGCTGGCCCATACTGGACCGACGTCCGACCCTTAGAAGGTCTCTGGCTCAGCCTCCCGTGGCGGTACCTCGTAGGGCGCGAGAAGGCGCCCTCAGATCTCTAGTGGGAAAGGGGGTTCGCGCCTCGAGAAAGCAACTAAGGCACAAAGCCATCCAGGAGATGGTCCAGAAGAAGAGGACGGTGCTCCTAGAGCTGTTCTCTCCCCCCAGGGCCACCTCAGAGACATCTCGCAGGGGCTTTCCCGTATCGAGAGCCGTGGATTAGAGAACGGGTTGGGACCTTCGCCGAGCCCGGGAAAGGAAAAGCATTCGGGAAATGATTCGGTCAGATCGCCCCGAGGTCATCCTGATGACTCCACCCTGCCGAGGAGCGTCAGTAGCTAGAGTCCCTAACTGGGACAAGATGGATCCAGATGAGAGAGACCGAATTGAGCAAGAAAGCATTTTCTTCTGGGGTCTGGCGGCGCAGGTGGCGATGCATCAGAACGCTCACGGAAGGAAGTTTCTCAACGAAAATCTTTTCGGGGCTTTTTCAAGGCAGCTGAGGTCCACAGAGATCTTGCTGGAACAGTCCGGGGATCTCGAGGTCCGAGCTGATCAATGTGCTTTTGGTTTGAAGACTCTCGACGGGGGGCCAGCGTTGAAACCTATTCGATTTATATCCAACTCAGGAAATCCTGGACAAGTGTGCACGCAGGTGCGAGGGGAGTCATGTGCATTATGTTCTTATTGGCGGCGCCAGGACGTCGGCGGCTGAACGGTTTCCACCAGCGCTGGTGAACGCTCTTGCGCAGGGCGTCGAGCAGGTGATCTTCAGTGAGGCCACTGAGGGATCGTTTCCAGCGGCGGGAGACGACCTACCCAACGAACCAGCCGAGGTCGAGGACTCTGAGTCCGAAGGTGAGCAAGAAACCAGGAGCTGCCCAAATCCCCCGGGACTTTCGAAGACTCCAGAGCTCTCCAGGGAGCTCCAGGAAGAAGTTCACAAGCTTCACGTGAACCTCGGACACCCTCGAAGGGATCATTTCGTCAGGACCCTGAAAGTCGGCAAAGCCAAGAAGGAAGTCATCCAATGGGTCCTGCAATGTTTTAAGTGCCCCACGTGTGACTCAGGATCTCGTCCAGGTTGGAGACGTACAGCTCACTTGCCCCGAACATACCGTTTCAATAGGCTTGTCGCGGCCGATCTCTTTTACATACAAGTGCTAAATTCGACTCACCCAGTGCTGAACCTGATCGATCACGGATCGAATCTCCAGGTGCACCTTGCTGCGAGCCGCCACGCCAGCTGAGGTTTGGAACGCCTTCCTCAAGTTCTGGGTGAGACCTTGCGGGATGCCAGAGACGGCGATGACGGATGGGGGGCAAGAGTTCGAAGGATCTCTTTCCAGGGGTTTTGAGCATCTTGGGGGTTACCAGCACGTTTGTGACGCCGAGTCTCCTTGGCAGAATGGGAGGTGTGAGCGTCATGGGGGGTTAGCCAAGAGCGCGCTTGTTCGAGCCGCCGGTGGGGCGGAGCCTACCAACCTCGAGGAGGTAGAAGCACTCCTCTGCGAGGTTGTCTCAGCAAAGAATATGTACTCTCACAGGGGCGGCTTCTCTCCCTATCAGATGGTGTTCGGCGAGAATCCTCGTCTTCCCCGATCCCTCTTGTCCGATGAAGCTCACGACGAAGTTGGGATCGGAGACGTGATTCGAGGATCAACGGACTCCAACTCCCCTGCCACCGCCTTCGCTCGAAAGCACGCCCTCAGGGAGGAGGCCAAGAAGGCCGTCATGGTTATGGACACCCGGGACCGCCTGATAGCGGCCAGCAAGGCCCGAAAGCACGTTGACAAGATTTTCCTTCCTGGAGCCTGGGTGTACGTTTGGAGAAAAGGAGGAACGTCTCAGGACAGGGAAAAGGGCCCCCGGACCAAGCGTTCCCGCTGGGCCGGCCCAGGAGCCGTAGTGCTTCAGCAGGGCACGACAGCGTGGGTAGCGATGAGATCGCGCCTGCTGAAGTGTGGCCAAGAACATATTAGATGGGCCACTAAGGACGAATCCGGGGGAGTTGAACTTCTGGACTCACCTTCCTTCGCTCGACTACGTCAGGAGCTTCAGTCTCCGGGAAGACGAGTCAGAGCAGTGGGCGTTGAGGCCGAAGGCCCGCCGCCCCCGGAGGCTTGGGATCTCGAGGAGCACGAGTCTCAGGACGCTCCAGTCCCAGTGGTTCCCGTGCTTCCGCCGGCCGAGCCTCCGCAGGCCCAGGGGCCTGCCGCGGCAGCTGGCAGCTGGCCCGATCGGAGACGACCAAGCGTCGACGGCGCGCCCAGTGACCATCTCCATCTCAGAGCATCGGGGCAGAATCTCCCAGGGGGATGCCCGAGGTCAGGGACCGCCCAGGGGGCGACGAGGCCTCAGAGGTTGACGAGGTGAATCCAGCCGGGCGACGAGATCCCACCGAGCCACCTCCATCTCAGAGACCTCGTCTGACGCCGATCGAAGACCGAATCCAGGGTCCAGGCCGAGTCAGGGAAGCCGCCGAGGAACGGGAAAGCTCTGGTTTACGAAATGGTCTTCTGGACGATGTGCCAATGTGTATTAGGAGGAGTCGTCAGACTCCGAGCGCCAGCAGCTTAGGCCCACTTCGTGAGGACGAAGCTCGCCAGCTGCCGGAACCTTCTTCTGCCGCGCGAGAGGGGTCTCGATCTCCGAGGAGAGAGACACCAGAGCCTCTGGGGAGGCCTAATGCTGCGGGGACGGGGGGGGGAAGACCAGGAGGAGGAGGATCTCTGGGGAGAGCTCTGCTCCTGGTTCCACTTTAGTTTTGATTTCTGGTGTTCCGAGTCTCTGGAGACTTTCGCCACTTCCAACGGTAAGGGAAAGGGCGAGGATCCCCCGTCAAGGCGCGGCGCCGAAGTTTCACTGAAGAGTCTTTCCCCCGAGGAAAGGCCCCTGTTTTCCTTTTCCGACGCCAGGGAGTGGAAGGCAATTCTCGACTCCGGGGCGGTGCGGATTTTGAAGGCGGCCGAGGCAGCTGTAATTTGGAGAAGATTTCCTGACAGAGTTCTGGGGTCTAGGATGGTTAGGAGGTTCAAGCCTCAAGAGGGGGTGGGCTCAGGGGCTCTCGCGAAATCGCGATGGTGTGTCCAGGGGCACCATTAACCGGACAATGAAGAGTTACACGTCTATGCCCCGACCCCCCAAGCAGAGAGTATTATGGTCACCCTCCAAGCGATCAGTTCGCTCGGTTGGGAGCTCGAGATCGCTGACTGCAAGAATGCGTTCTGTCAGTCCGACCGACTTCATCGTCCCAAGGGGTCGATCTTTTGCGAGCCGTGCCAAGGGCTGAATTTGAGACCAGGTGAGCTCATCGAGCTCATTGCGCCAGTGTGCGGCCTGAATGACGCACCTCTCCTCTGGCACCGTACCCTCGCCCCATGGCTCTCAGAAGACGGTTTCAGCAAGTCCCTTTTAGAACCCTGCCTGTGGGTTAAGAGGTCGTCTCAAGGGGAGATCCGTTCCTTGGTACTCATTGAGGTGGACGATCTCATAGCGGCGAGTGCTCCTGCGGAGCGCCAGGGTATGAAGGATAGACTCCGAGGTAGGTTCAAGTTCGGCAAACGGGAGACCGGGGAGGCCGATTTCGCCGGGAGACACGTGAAACAAGTGGGCCAGAAAATCTTCATATATCAAGAGAAATACATATTAGAACAACTTGCCCCCATACGGTTAGCTAAGGAGAGGCGCTCGGACCCCGAGGCGCCGTTGACCCCGGAGGAGGTCAAGCTGTACAGAACGATGGTGGCCCAGATTCAGTGGCTAGGTCGGGAATCCCGGCCGGACGTGTCGGCACGAGCCTCCATTCAGAGCGCCGCTTTCCCGTCACCCACGGTCAGTGACGCAATGTTGTGCATCAAGATAGTCAAGCATCTCAAGGGAGCCGCCAGTCAGAAGATAGTTCTGTGGCCACTGGGCCCGAGCTCGATGAGCTTCGCGACGGTTTCCGACGCGGGGGGCCCGGGGTCCGCTCGAAGAAACGGGGCCCAGGGAGGGTAGTTGGTTCTAGCGGCCGATCCGGCCATAAGGCAGAACAGAAGGTCTCGTGTTTCCCTTTTGAGCTGGAGATCGATTGGATTAAAAAGGGTGGTTGCGTCTACCGGAGCTGCAGAGACACTGTCGCTCTCTGCCGCCCTCGCCGAGGCCCAGTGGCTGTCCATCCTGTGGAGGGACCTTGTGTTCGGCGACGTCAGTCGCCCAGACTGGCATCTGTCGCAGTTTCCTTTCTCCGTTGTTTTGAGCCGTGATTGCACTCTCTCGGAAGGAGTGGAGACTCTCTCCGTGGTTGACGCGAAATCCATTTTCGACACTCTTTCGAAGAATTCGGCCGGGTCGAGAGCCGACCGAAGGAACAGTATCGAGCTCGCAGTCGTGCGAGACAGTATGAGCGCTGTAGGTTTTCAAGTCAGATGGGTTCCACACGGTCGAATGGCTGCTGACGCGCTTACGAAGGCGGATGCAGCATGTGGCAACGTGGCTCTGACCGATCTGTTGTCCAAGGGAACCGTGATTCTTGTGGGCGAGGAAGGTCACATGTCGGAGCGCTCCTTAAACAATTCTCTCAAGTCTCGTTCCCGTAGAGCCTCGAAGGAGGCCCTTCTAAGAGCTAGTTCAGATCTTTCAGAGCCGGGAGACGGGCAGTCCGGGGGGCGGGAAGTAATTTCTTGGCTATGCCAGACCCATTGAAAGTAGTCCCGCTGTGCTCTCTTACCTCTTCTCTTCCCCCCTCTTTGTGTCTGTCATAGCCTTTTAGGCTTTCAGCCCGTCGATGACGGGCACAGGTGATGTTGGCATCTCCAGGGCGCTCGCACAGAAAGACTCATGCTTTCCCTCTCTCGACCAGTCTCAGACAGTACCCTCGATCCTCGAACCATCCACTCCCCAGACCTAGATCCTGGGCGCTCGACTCCCTCCCTCAAACTCTCGATCCTTGAGCCCTCCCTCCGACTCCTTCTCGGGATTGATCTATCGATCCAAATCATTATCGGCTTCGGCCGGCCTGGTCCAATCCGATTTCGATGTTCCGACGATCCGATGCGGCCCGATGTTTGCACGGTGTTGCCGATGCGGAGAATCATGGGGCGGCTTATCCGATCCGACCCCCATTTCGTGCCGGCGCGGCCCGACCCGACGCTTCGATATTGTCTGATCCTGCCATTGCCTCCCTCGATCCTCGGGCCATGGATCCTAGAGCCCTCGGAGCATCCACCTTGGACCACCGAAGTGGAGGAGGAGGAGGAGGAGTATAACAGGGATACACACGTGTATTCGTATATATATACATATACATACATGTGCATATATATATATATATATATACATACATGCACATATATATAGAATGAAGACAGATACATGTATATGCACACGGGGAGAGATGGAACAGCACAGCACAAAAACAAAAAAAAACAACACATTAATATGAGGAGAGGAGGGAGGAGGGGGAGGAATTGGAGGAGGAGTTGGAGGTCGAACCCTCGATCCTCGAACCGCCCCTCCCTCCCTCCAACCCCCCTCCCCCAGAGGCCTCCAGGGCGCCGCAGCTCCCATCGCCGCCCCCCCCGCCGCCGCTGGGCTCCGGTAGAGGAGGTCCGCGCCTCTGCGCCTCCTCTCGCTCTCTCTGTCTCTCTCTCTCTCTCCCTCTCTCTCTCTCTCTATGTGTGTGTGTGTTTCTCACGCTCTCTCTCTCCCTCTCCATCGCTCCCTCCCTCTCCATCGCTCCCTCCCTCTGTCTCTCTCTCTCTTCTTCCTCCTCCCCTCCTTTCAGGATCGAAGAAACAGGAGGAGCATCAGTTCCTTCGTCAACTTCGTCCTTTGAGGTCCTGTCTCGGGCCTCGGGACTGTTCAGGGTGCAGAACGGGGCAGGATGGACCTTGGGAGGGGTCCGAGGTCCGGGGGAGAACTCGGGGGGGAGGGTGCCATACCCCTCCCATCCCGAGGCCCCTCCTCGCGAGTCCTTGCGGGCATTCCTCTCTCCACGGCGGGGAGCGCCCTGTCTGCAAGGCGGGCGCCCCATGGGCCTGACGCTCGGGCGAGGGTCCGATCTGGCCGTCGCCCGCCGTCCCTGCGGCTACGAGAACTGCCCAGATGCACGGTGCATGATCGCAGGTGTGTGAAGCAGCGTCGAGCGCTTGCCCATTCCGAAACAAGGGCTCCATACGTGGAGCGGTTGCACAGCGACGAGTAGTGGTTGGGCCTCGACGGCGGTGGGCCTTCCATCCGCGCGACTCGTGCGTGGGGTGTAAAGGAGGTGTCGCAAGCGAGAGATCCACTCTGAAGAGGTATCACCACCACCACCCCTTCATCTGTTTCGAGGTTTTCGTGCGAACTTGCTCTGCGTTAAGGCGATCGGAGGAGGTGAGGAGGGGAAGGAGGAAGGAGGGGAGGAGGGAGAGGGGAGCGGGAGGGGGGGAGGAGAGGAGGGAGCAGGAGGAGGAGATCGAGGAGGAGGAGGAGGAGGAGAAGGAGAAGGAGGAGGAGGAGGATACGAAAGGAGGGATGAGGAGCAAATGGAGGAAAATGAGGAGGAGGACGGAGGGAGGGGGACGAGGACCAGAGAGGAGGGAGGATGCGGATGAGGATCAGGTTGAGGGAGGGGACCGATCTCGCACCAGCCAGACTCGCACCGCCCGGAGCACCGTTGGGATTCACGCTTGGCCTAGCCAGATTCGCACATTGGGCGCCAGTTCCAGCGGTGCGCTCAGGTGCGGGTTCAGTCGGGTGCGGGTTAAGTTTGGTTTTGTGTGAGCACGGTCGGGTGCGAGCTCGACCTTTGTCGAAGAGCGCCAGAGAATGCCAAGATCGGGGGCCGATTTCTGGAAGTGGTCGCGATGAGCGGAGGGCCGAGGTGACTGTGATGGATGTTCGATCGTTCCGATATCATTACAGGGGGCGCGGCTGTTTTCGTAACGCGTGTCTTGGATTATTCGACGATGGTTTGAAGATCAAACTGGACCCATAGGCAGCTGACACCGCTGTGTGGTATGGCAAGTTTCGTGAAGATGGTAGCCATCTACGTAACCCAATGGCCATCATCCTACCAGGGCAAGTGTGACTTCTGGCCTAGCTGTTGAGATCATGGGGAGTGGTCAGGTGTCCTTGTCGTACGAGTTTGTTCCTGGCTGAGGTGGGGGAAGTGGTTGTAGGGTAAGAGCAAACCTAAGCAGTCCAATAATCGGTAAGAGCAAACCTAAGACCAGACCTTCTTGCAAATGGGTGACGTAAGGATTGCTGTTGACGATTCAGGCGCGCCGACCGAGCGTACTGGGACATGGCCCTGGAAACAACGCTGCTCCACAGCGATCTCCAATGTATCATGATTACTTGCTGGTGGATCCGGTGTTGCAGCATGCCTCGGCTTGACGGTGTGTCCATGATACTTCGCCCCGAAGCTTCACTTTCACATTGGTCGGGCGCCTCTTAAGGACCGATTGGGGTCGCGAGGGCCACCCTCGGAGGGAGGAGAAACGATACCAACAACACCAGGGGGCCCACCTCCAGCGAGGAGGTCCACAATGCCTCCCCGAGCGGGAGACTGGGCATGTCTCGAGCGAGAGGGGGGACCACACCACCAGGGAGACCCCCCTTGCCTCCGCGCATCTCCTCGCCCTGTTGGTGTTGGTGTCGCCTTCCCTTGCTCCTGCACCCTGCCTGGAGCCAGCTGCACCCAGCGCGTCGGACCACGAAGGCTCGCTGCCGTCGTCGGGCGGGGAGGACAAGGGCAGCCCGGCCGCCGGGCGCGGTCGCTCGGCCGCGCCCTGGGCGGACGCCTCCGCGCGCGGGGCCCCGCCTCTTCGGCGAGACGCGAGGGGGGCCCCCTCTGCGGGGGTGACTCCCGTGCGCGGCGTTCTCGTTTGGCATCGCTCGGACGTGTGCATTTTTCCTTCGGCGAGGACAATCGAGGAACATCCTTGATCATTTGGCGAAGAAGCCACGCACGAAACCGACAAAAGCACAGGGAATGGACGTCCGAGCGACGGGGAGCTGCGGGAGTGACTCCAGTGCGCGGCGTTCTCGGGGGGGCGCGCAGGGGGGCGAGCACGGCAGATCGCTGCCGCCGCCTTGCACGCGGCGGTCGGCGGGCCGATATTCTCCCCTCTCTTCCCAAAGCCCGATCCGGGGCCGGTTCCGATCCGAGCCGACCTGTCGACTCGATGGTGATTCGATCGGATCTCCTCCACAGTGGGCTGGCAGGCTGTAAAGTAGGCAGCGCCTGCGCACAGACACAGCTCCACGTGCAAGATCAGCACGCGGTTGCAACGCGCCATGCGCCACAGGATGAACTGTTGCATGTTTTGCGACCCCATGGCGAAAGACACCCCTTTTCCCAGAACCAACGCTGTCGAAGTTGAAGTCGGATGGGGCTAGGACGAGGACAAATCTGTCCCATAGCGTTCCGGAACGCTCTCAAAGCGTTCTGGTACGCTCTGAGAAGACCGCGGCGCCTGACACATTCCCTAGAGCTGCTGGATCTCAGAGATCTTCGATTCCCCCCCCCCCCCCCTCGATTTTGTCCTCGTCCTGGCTTCGTCTTATTGATGCCGACTGATCACTCCTCCCCGCCTCGGCCTGGCAAGGCCGCGCCATGCCGCTCTCCTTGAAGGCCAGGGGACTGCTCCGGACCAGATTTTCCACGCAGAGTCGACACGGCCACTCTCGTGGTGTCGGGGGTGGACAGACCTCCTACCCTGACACATCGATTAAGGAATTGGCCGTTTTCGGTTCGCGAGAGGGCGTCACGGCCGTCATTTTTGCGGGTCCAGGTCCGTCGGGTTCGGTCCCAGGCCGCTTTCACTAAGGGGATGTTCATTAAAGGGAGGTTTGTCCACCGCCGATGGTGATCAGGCGACAACGCACCAGAGGATATATGAGCCACGCATGGCCGCGAGAAGTGCTGGTCTTGAGGCGGGAACATGTAGGCCTCCCAGAGGGGGTCGGAGCAGATGGGGTGGGAGGATCGCGCCACATCGTCGATGCATCGCCGATGCGGCTCGATGTGGAGCCCGACTTGCTTCACGTCGACGTCGCCGATGCATCGCCGACATCGACGATGCATCGCCAGTGCATCGCCCCGACATCGCCGATGTATCGGCGGTGCGGCACGATCCTTCGACCCCATCTGCTCCGACCCCATCCAGGAGGCCTCTGGAACGATGATCCTGCCCCCGCCTCGGCCCGATGAGGCCGCGCCCTGCCGCTCTCCTCGAAGGCCAGGGGCGCGCCGCCGAGCGCGTCGCTGCGCGTGGCCGAGCCCGTCTTCTCCGAGAGGCGTGGCGCGAAGCGCCCCGCGGAGAAGCCGCCGCTGCCGCCGGGCCCGCCGCCAGGCGCGGGACGCGGCCGACGACGACGCCGACGCCACCGACGCCGCCGCCGACGACGGCGACGACGAGTTACTGCCCTATCGAGGTCACCTTTCTGGGCCCTGGCTGCGTTGGGCCCTCTTGGGGGAGAGCCTCTTGGCGCCCCTGGGAACCTCTGGAGACAGGCCGCCCAGACCAGGGGCCTTCGGCCCCGCATTAGAGGAAACATTGTTGGAGAACATCTTGTACGATAGAGCATTTTGGGTGGCACAGTGGACCAGCCTACGAACACGAATATACACGATTCCAACTAGAATTTGCTAAGAGCCACATCAGAACAACATACGTCCATCTTAGATTCACGTTTGGCGTCGCAATACGCCAGAGAATAAATATGAAGAATAACAGGAATACTATGTACAATTCTGCGAGGGATGCGTGAGAAACAGTTGACGCAAGCAAGCAGACGACGCACGTGCATTGGAAATGGCTTGAAACATGTTCATTGGAAAGCGCATGTAATCAACCACGCAATCGCGACATTGAAGACACGGAGAGCAGATACAAACACGAGACACAACGAATGTACATTAAAAGTCTGCGTAGCAGTTCTTTGACCTTGAATCAAAGTGATTCGCATGCCGCATACCTGTCCGCATACCTGTCCTGCGCGCAGTTCCGTACCGACTGTACGGCGCAGCCTTGCCCAGCACCGAAGTTCAGGAAAAGTCTCGTCTCTCGATCCATGTTCCAACAAAAGCGGCAATTCAAACGGCGTATTTGGAGATGGGGAGGCGGTAAGGACATCCTTGAGCCATGGATTGTTATCCTACGGAATGGCCAGTCGATGGAGCACAGAGTTTGAATGCACGTATGTCCCCTGACGGATTACACATTGGCCAGATTTGTAAAGCAAACGTTGTATGCAGCGCATAATTAGTATTATCCGGCGGAGTATCGTCAGTGCCTCCAACCTAGAACAGTCCGGTCTCGATCCTTTGGGAAGCAGGCTTGCGGGTGGTTGGGCGCACGCAGGCCGTGGGAAGATCTTCGTGCCCAGTCGGCAAAACGAGGGCGAAGAGGAGGATGCCATCGAGGAGGACAGCGTCTTCGTGCCCAGTGACGCCCACTATCGTGGGGGCGATGAGGAAGCCGAAGATGAGACCGTCGAAGAGGCGGGCAACGTCTTCGTGCCAAGTCGTTTTCAGGAAGGCGACTTCGCCCAGGACCGCCAGTCGGAGAGGGTGGGGCTGAGAGGGAGCGACGAAGGAACGGGGAGGGGAGCAGCGCCAGTTGAGAGGGAAGGGGATAACATAGTCAGCTGACCGTCGAGGGGCCCAAGGCGTTGGGAGAGGAGAGGGGCGAGGAGGTAGGACGATGCGGATGAGGAGGGAAGAGGGGGGGGCGTCATCGAGGAGGAGGAGGAGGAGGCGGGGAGGAGAACTGTAGTTACCAGTCCCCGCCCGAAGATGTAGAGGGGAAGAGAGGGGATGAGAGAGCGCCACAGATGTTGGGCTCTGGCTCGGTGCAGGAGCCAGTTTTATCCCCCAGCGATGTTACTTGCGGGGAGGGGCCCAGTAATGTCTGGGCTGGGAGTGGGCTTGGGGGGACGACGCTGACATCGCCGACGACCGACGTCCAGAGACCTCCACAGGTGCACATAGACAGTGTGAACACAGTTTTTCGTCGACGGCGATGCAGAATGGCTGCACCAGCGATAGAGCTAAACGGGGGCACTGAGAAGCGAACTGCCCAGCATGCAGGAGAGGGGAAAAGACGGACAGGGCGGCCGCGGAGGAGGAAGGAGGAGGGGGCACTCAGAGGCGGAAGACTTCGACCTGAGCGCGCTGGCGCGGCCAGCCCCGTCAGCGGTGACCATGGCAGCCGCCGGGCCGCAGCGCCGGAGCACCCACGGGCGATGACGAGGCCCAGTTCGCGAAAGCAAAGGGTACCGCAGTGACGCCGTCGGTGAAGTAGGACTAGGTACTTGCACGTCAGGGACAGCGCCAGGAGGCCGCCCAGGTGGGAGGCCGGGTTGACAGGGGTCGGCAAGTACACGAGCAATCTAGGTTTCAAATTGCCACCAGCGAAATGCTGGGCCCGTGAGGTGGGGTGCGGGGCGGCAAGACCAGGCCCAGGAGCACTGCCACACGAGGGAAGCTGCCAGTCGCGGCGGCAGCGTGGGCGCCATGGCGGCGTGCGGAGGGAGGGGGGGACAAGGCACAGGGGGGGGGAGGGAGAGGGCAGGGAGGAGGAGCGCCCCGAGGTCCCCGCAGGCGGGGCGGCAGCCCGGGCGCCAGGCAGTGTGTACACAGGCAGTGTGGTGTACGCAGGCATTGAGGCGTTGCGGTGCACACGGTTTGGTTCCTTCATCCTTTTCCTCGTCGTCCCCCTCCTCGTCCTCTTTCCCCTCCTCCTGTCGTTCCCACAGCACTGACTCTGCGTGATACAAAGGAAGCTGTGCGGGCTGTGCTTGTACGGTGTGATTGAGACGTGATCGATTGGTCTTTGTTCCCTCGCCGGTGGAGGACGACGTTGCGGACTCCGTGCCAACTTACTTGCGAGAATATGACGCGGGCTCCTTAGCATGGTCGAGTTCGCGTCCAGCAGCGCCAACATACGACACAGCAGTAACAGTCACAATGGTTTATGGTCGCATCGTGTTCATGATGTATGCTGTGCGTCCATGGCTCTGTGAGTCTATGATCCGTCATGCGCTTTGTGCCTTGCTGCTGTTTGAGATTCCGAGGCGGGCTTCACAACAGTCGGAGACGATGAGCTATGAGGAAAAAGCGTCGCTACGATATTGCTCGCAGTGGGAGGTCGCGCAAATGTGTCATTGCTCATTGACTGTGCCATGTTTGAATCGCGTAGCTCATTCTGCCGACCCATCTCGCATCAGTGTTGCCACCTGTTGGTGTGTTCATGGCGAGGAAGAGGAGGGAGAGGAAGAAGAGAAGAGGTGGACATACTTAGATGCATCTCGACTGCCTCTTAGGGTACTCTTGGGGCCAGGAGGGGTCGTTGACAAGACACCTCTTCTCTTCAAGAGGCTCCCTGGTGTCTTTCGGGAGTGGGCCTCTTGGAGCCTGCTGGCATTCGGCGGCCATGTTTTGGGGAGGGATCGGCATGTCAGGTCGGATTCCCTCTCAATGGGCCCTTTTGGGGGCGTTGAAAGTCCTCTTGGGAGGCCTGTTGGGCTGCGTTGGGGTTCTCTTGAGCCGCCATGTGGCCGTGCAGGGAGATTCGGGGCCTGACTTCGGGCGATCTTGGGGATCTCTTGGAGGCCTCATGCGTCAGTGTATGGCCGTCCTGGGGCCATCTTCAATGCCTATTGGCCGTCTTTGGACGACGAGCTTCAGAAAGGTATGAACCTGAGATTCGCTGAAAAACTTTTGGAGCGGTCGTGGGCTATCTTGGGACCATCGAAAGCCTTCATGAGGCCATTTTCGACCGTCTTGGAACGCAAGTGGACCGTCTTGGCATCCTCCTGGGCCGGTTCATGGAGCGCCTTGCTGGGTCGGAGCGCCCTTCCCCGACGCACGGCCAGGCGAAAAACCAGATCCGATCCAGGACCGGCCGAGGTACTCTTCGTCCGGGGTTCCCCAGGGGTCCGCCCCGCGCGCACAGAGTGCACATATCCTGGAGCGCCTGCAGGGTGTTTCGGTGCGCCTCTGGCCCGTTGGGCCAGCGAATCCTTCGGAACTGGCACATGGAAGAATGCGTGCACAGCTTCTGTAGCCCTCCAAGCGTTTCCTCAAGACGCTCGTGTTCACCGCTCGCCCAAGGCGTTCTCGTAGTAGCCTGGGACGGAAGGTCCAAGACAGCCCCAAACGGGCCCGTGGCGGGTCAAAACGATTTCGCAACAGCCCCACGAGATGCAAAAAGGGTCCGAAGTAGGCCCCAAGATCGCACAACATTGCACCAAGAGGGCCATAAGGACCCCCAATTTGGGCCACCCCAGAAGAAGTACGGCGTTTTTGGGACAGGTAATATGTTTGGATATTAGTTACGGCTCTTGAGGGGCTGATGATACATATTGAGGCCATGTTCGGGATGGCTAGAGACATCGTGGTCACTCGTAGGACCCTTTTTTGCTTTTCTGAAGAGGTCTCTGAGGCCCAGATTGAAGCCATCTTGATCCGAGAACTAGAACAGAGTCGCCATCGCCAGCGTGGACCCCAAACAGTGTGTTTCTAGCAATATGTGGTGCAATGTATTAACAGTGCAGTCTGTGTGGTGCACCTTATGTGGGGCTATCTATGCTGCGCCATCTATGTTGTGCAATGTGTGTCGTGCGATCGATGATGTGCAATACATATAAATATATACATACATATATATATATTAATATATATATATATGTGTGTGTGGTGCAATCTATGCTGGGCAATCTACGCGGAGCAATATGTGTGTGTATATATATATATATATGTGGCGCAACCTGCGTGGTGCAATTAATTATGTTCGCAGTGAGTTGTCCATTCCACGGCTCGCGCAACCATCCCACCCACCCACCCGCATCTTGCTTTGCAAAATCCATGCGGCGGCGGTTACGATGAGTGCTTGGCGTTGGCTGGTGCGTCCCTGCGGCCGCGCCAGCCCGCGCATGCACGTGCGCGCGCAGCGGCCAGCAAGTTTGGCGCGACCAGTGCGGCCGCGGTGGCGCTGATCGCTGCGAATATCCCAGCGGGCACTTCAGTCCGATTCGGCGATTTGGGCGGGCGCGGTATCATGGCAACGTCGACGCCGGTAGACACGATGATGATCGTAGCGATGCTGGTGACGATGCTGATTGACAGCGGCGACGGCACGGCTAGTGACGGCGCCGATCTTGACCACGCCGACGACGATGATGGCGTCCTCGCGTCGGTGGTGAAGGTTTTGGAAACAGTTCGACATGCGCGCGCGGCCGACGCGGGAGAGCAACCGCATGGTGTTGTTTGACAGAGCAAGGAAGGATATGACATGCTTGGAATTGCCAGATTATGCGCTGACATGGGCATGGGGGCCCGAAACCCCGCCCGAGGCACGTAGGGAAGGAAAGCGACGGAGGAGGAAAAGGATAATGAAAAAACGGACAAGTCAACGGGAGTCCCGTCGACTGCCGGCTACTGCGGTAGCCGAGGCCGGCATCGCATTCGTGGCGGCGGCGCGCACTTTGCGCTTGCGGAAGGGGAAGTTGGAACAACCACCCCCTGGCGCGAAGCGTCTGTAGCAAGAGGCGTGGTGCCGAGCAGGGGATACGCAGTCTCTTTCTGCGCCCAGCGTGGAAAAGGGCCCGGGTCGGCGAAACCCCGTTTGACGGCTGGGCGAACGACGAGGCGTCCCCCGCCGCCGCAGCCAGGCCCCGACGTCGCGTGGCCGCGCGGGCAATCGGGCCGGCGAAACGTAGGCCGAAGGCCGTGGTCGTCGAGGGCCGTGCCTGGCGTGCAAGGCTGAGTGAGCGCGTCTTGCAGACAAGCGGATGAGGGTGGCGAGTAGCAGTGGACGGTTTGGGCGCACCGTCGGACGACTCCACAGGTGAAACACGTAAAAACGGCATCCCCGTGCAGGGAGGTGCACACCCGTCACGCGACAAGGGCGGCAGGGCCATAGGAGCCAGTGGCCGTGCCAGGGGCACGGCTGTCCCCCAGTTCCCGCAAATCACCCGCCCACTGCGTCCAGGTGCACAGGAGGCAGGCCAGCTGCAGGAGCGGGGGGAGGCGCCAAGGCCTTGTCACCCCAGCCGCACGAGGGGAGTGCCACCCCCAGGGGAGCCCCGGTGACAGTTGTTGGCGTTGCGCGGTGGAGTAAGCGAGCGTAAGCGTGCGCCTGCGAGCGGCACCCCCGCCGGGAAGTTGTTGCTGCAATGGCGTCAATTGCGGAGAGTACGACAGACGTCAGCACCGCTGCAGCTGCGGGCGCGGCCCAGGCAAGGAAGCGGCACGCCCGATGCAGCGAGGCCGTCAGAGATGAGGAAGAAACGGATGCGCCTGCGAGCGGCGCCTTTGCCGTGATATACAAAAGCTAAAACGTGGCCCCAACAGCAGGGGGTGCGCCAGGCGAGGCAGATGTCGAGTGCAAGCGAGCTGCGCGCGAGGGTCGGTCGGAGGCCGGAGGCGCGCAGACCCCGCAAGCAAAGCAGGATGCCTTTGTTGGCGGTGGGCGGGCCGGCGGGTCTGATCCCGACCTCCAGAGACCCACGGGACGGGGTCGCAGATGTCCCGGCTGAGCGGCCAGGCGGGCCAGGATCGTCGCGGGGCGGACCACAGAGGCGGCCAGTGCCCAAAGGGGGAGGGCGCGAAAACCGACCCTGGCCCTGTGTGTCCGTCCAGGGCAAGGCGGGGCCGTTGGGGCCCAGGGGGCTTGGGGGCGGGGGGGGCGACGGCGCTACGGGGGGGGCGTGGTGGTGTTGTCGTGAGGCCGCGCGTTTGTTTGTCGTCGTTGTCAGCGTCCTCCAGCTCCCGCGTCCTCTTCTGCCGCCGCCTGGGATCGGAGGTCGGCCTGGGGGGGGGGAAGGAGGTGGGGGGAGTGCACTGGGGCGCGGTGCTTGCGCTGCGTTCAGCGGCGCCGCTTCCAAAGAGCCTGGTCGGGCTGGCCTGCGAGCGCCGCCCCCTGGCCTCGTCCTGGACAGGGTCCGCCGGAGGCATGCGGAGCAATTGGCGCACGCGTGGACGACGCGCTGCGTGGTATTAGTGTGGAGGCCGTCAGTGAATCTGACGGCGATGGCAGTGATACTGGTTGCGAGCGGTGTGAGACATTTGGTGGCAGGCGTGGTGAACGTGATTGACCAGAATACCCGCTCTCGTGTAACGTTTTCGTTCTGCGCGCGAACTGTTCCACTCGTCGCGCGGCTGGTCTTCGGGGGCGCGGTCGTTCGCGGCCCCATCAGCTGGGCGTGCGACAGCGATCGGGGCGCCAGCAGTGTGGCCACGGGGCGCAAGGTTGTCGTGGTGGTTGTGATTTTCCCCCCGCCCCCCCCTCCTTATCTCGCCTTCTCTGCCGCGCCGCGTAAGTAGACGACGGGGGGGAGAAGGTGGGGGGGTCTCCTGGGCGGGAACCTTAGGGGGAGTGCGCGCGTCGGGGGACGAATCTTCGGGGCGCGGCACTGGGGCGGAGACGAAAAGACTGGTGGGGAGCAGGTGGCCGGTGCAACCGTTGTCTAGCGCGGCGATCTAGCATTCGTTGGCGTCGCCGGAGCGGCCTCGGACGACGCCGCGGAGACCGTTTATTGGGTTGCGCCCTTGGCCCTGGGCCGCGACCTCCGCGCCGACTTGGATCGCGGGGGTCGGGCGGGTCGGCAGGCATCGTAAGGGCAGCGTCGCCCGAGGGGGCTCCTTTGACGGCGCGTAGCGTGTCTTGGCACGCGTGCCCCGCGTCAGCGGCGCGGGCGCGGGCGACGACGGCGGGATCGTGGCCCAGGTAGCGCCCGCAGTGGGCGCGTGGATCGCGGTCGGTGGAGCGTCGGTGGCGGCGCGCAGTGGCGCCGACCCGTGGCCTGTGAGATCGCGGCGGGTGAGCAGCGTGCGGGCCGTGGCCTGCGAGCGCTCGGCCCGCGGCAACTTGCAGAGCCTGAAACCCTCTGCTGGGGGAGGTTCGGAGGCGGCAAACGCCTTTGGCGGCGCCGAAGAGCGCCGCGACGCAGTACCTGCCGACGGCGGCGGCCAGGCGGCAGGCGCCCTTGGCGATGGCGAAAAGCGCTCAGACGCAGAAGCTGCCCGCGGCGGCGGTCCTTTTGGGGGGGGGGTCACACCCGCCGCGTTGAGGAAACAGTCGTGGAAGACCGCGCACACCTTGTTGCAGCTCAGGATCGCCAGGGCCCGTTCGGCCGCTGTCGCGGCACGGCGGCCTAGCTCATGAGCAACGGCGCGTACGAGGGCGAAAACGGCGAACGCAACTCCCAGAATGTAGGCACAAGTCGCGCCGAGGGCGCTGTGGAG